GATACTATAGGGAAGTTACATCCTCTGCTTAGGAATAGTCCACCATTTGTGGTGTCTACTATGTCTACTGTTGGGTGGATCATACTGCTGTTAAGGGAAGTACAATGCTTTAATGGTCTGTCTCCCCCGTTCCCCCTCATGCTGGGGACTGAACCCAGGATCTTGTGCATGCTAGGCAAGTGCTCTATCAGTAGGCTACTACTCCTACTCTTTATTCTTAGGGTCTTGAGGTCTTGATGGTTCATTGTTGCTCATATGGCTGAAGAGTGGGTTGTCCACATAGTTTCCTTTTCAGAAGTGAGGTGATGAGTCTGAAATGTTGGGACTCACTATGCATCATGGCACACACATATAATCTCTGTGCCTCAGGGAGCTGAGGCAGGAGAATCACAAGTTCAAGTCCAGCCTCTATAACTTAGTGAGGCCATCAACAGTTTAGCAAGACCCTGTCACAAAATTAAAAAATTAAACGGACTGGAGATATGGCTCAGTGATAAAATGTCCCTGAGTTCAATCCCCAGTACCAAAAAAAAAAAAAAAAAAAAAAAAAATGAGTCTTCTGTAGGGATAGGTCCTGTCAATGCCTCTGCCTGACAACAGCAGGTTAAATATTATCTGTGCCAGGGTGGCAAACTGGAACAAGGACTACCAGGGCTATGGGAGGAGGGGTGTCCTCACTCTCGGGACAGAGTTGTTTATACCTTTCATCACAAGTGTGTCCTGAGTACAGAAGAGGCTACACTTTTCACTGGGTATGAGAAGGCTTTCCATAGTGAAATGAGGGTAGGGGTGACCTCTCGTTCATTGGCGCAAAATCACCAATGGTTGGACTGCATGGCCTCTCTTCAAGGACTGAACAGTGGTGAATTTTTTTTTGGTGTTTTTTTGTTTTGTTTTGTTTTGTTTTGGTACTGACAATTGAACCAAGGGGCACTTTACTTTACTTCCCAGGCTCCCCCTTTTTTTTGATACCAGGGATTGAACCAGGGTAGGAGTGTGGGGGTCAAAGGGCTTAACCACTGAGTCACATCCCAGTCCTTTATTTTTTATTTTGGACAGGGTCTGGATAAGTTGCTTAGGGCCTCACTAAGTTGCTGAGGCTGACCTAGAACCTGCAATCTTCCTGCTTCAGCCTCCTGAGTTTCTAGGATTGCAGATGTGATCTACCATGCCCAGGCATTTTGGGTTTTTATTTTATTTTTTAAATATTTTTTTAGTTGTTGATGGACTTGTAAAAAATCTATTTATTTATTTGTATGTGGGCTGAGAATCGAACCCAGTGCCTCACACATGTGAGGCAAGAGCTCTATCACTGAGCCACAAACCCAGACCCTGGGTTTTTATTTTGAAACAAGGTTCACTAAATTGCTGAGTTTGAACTTGAATTTGTGATTCTCCTACTTCAACCTTTCAACTCACTGGTATTATATCATGCCTAGCTGAGGAATAGTTCTGATCACAAATTCACACTATCCAGGTTTTCTCATTAATGGTCAGGATCACCATTGCTATCATCTTTGAGGATGGGTCTCAGCATCCCTGAGTCAACTGAACTATTCCACAGGATCCATATTTCTGTGCTGGAGTAACATGGACCCCTGACAGATTATAATACCTGTGGAGAAGTTTGCATAAACCACCAAAGACACAATGCCCATGGCTGGGGATATGGTTCTGTGGTTAAGAGATCCTGAGTTCAATCTCTGTTACCAAAAAAAAAAAAAGAAAAGAAAAAGAAAGAAAGAAAGAAAGAAAGAAACAGTGGCAATGAACTGGCCAACTGGGTCAGGGTGGGATTATGACATTAATAGGCAATTTCACACTGTCAGTGCTGTGTGTTTATTTAGTTTATAGTTGGAGTCTGCAGGCTATAGGATAAGGGTACTCACATTATCTATGGGGTATATAGTTACTTCTGCTAATAATATCTAATAATATGTTTTTTCCTCTGCTAATAATTATTACCAGTGTTTATTTTTACTTATTTATGTTTTCGTGCTAGGGATCAAACTACATGCCAAGCACAAGCTCTATCACTAAGCTACATGCCCAGCCCGATATTTATTGTGTACTTCACTTTCCTGATTTCTCATAATAAAACGATTGTGTAGGATCTATTAATAGCCCCATTTGGAGGCTGGGGTTGTGGCTCAGTGGCAGAGCACTTGCCTAGCATGTATGAGGCACTGAGTTCTATTCTCAACAACCAAATAAATAAATAAAGGTCCATCAATAACTAATAAACAAATTTTTAAAAATATCCCCTAGCGTTATACAAATGACATATAAGAGGAAAGGAGGGGTAAGACAAGATAATACAAATCGAAGAAATGATTTACAGTAGAAGGGGTAGAGAGAGAAAAGGGGAGGGGAGGGGAGGGGAGGGGGGATAGTAGAGAATAGGACAGACAGCAGAATACATCAGACACTAGAAAGGCAATTTGTCAATCAATGGAAGGGTAACTGATGTGATACAGCAATCTGTATACGGGGTAAAATTGGGAGTTCATAACCCACTTGAATCAAACTGTGAAATATGATGTATTAAGAACTATGTAATGTTTTGAACGACCAACAATAAAAAAAAAAAAAAATTCACAAAAAAAAAAAAAAATCCCCTAGCTGGGAGAGGTGGTGCACGCCTGTAACTCAGCTGTTTGGGAGGCTGGGACAGGAGAATTACAAGTTCAAAGCCAGCCTCAGCAACTTCGAGGTGCTAAGCAACTCAGTGAGACCCTATATCTAACTAAAATACAAAATAGGGCTGGGGATGTGGTTCAGTGGTCCAGTACCCCTGAGTTCAATCCCCAGTACCAAAAAAAAGCACCCCATTTTACAGATGAATATTTCTTTTTTTTTTTTTTAGTACTGGGAATTGAACCTGGGGTGCCTAACCACTGAACCACATCTCCAGTCCTTTTTATTTAGTTATTTTTTATTTCGAAACAGTCTCACTAAGTTGCTTAGGGCTTCAATAAGTTGCCCAGGCTGACCTCAAACTTGGGATCTTCTTGCTTCAGCCTCCTGAATTGCTGGGCATGCACCACCCTGCTCCACTATGGATGAAGAATCTGAGGCTCACTTTGAGAAGGTGGCTTGCCCTTTTTCACAGACACAGGAAAGCAGAGCTGGGGTTGTAACTCAGGTCTCTTCCTTACTGAAGGGAGTGCTGGGGAGTCACTGGGGCTGTTACTGGTCTTATATCTATGAAACTCTGTATTGGGAAGGTGGTATAATGGTTAAGGGTATGGATCTGGGTTTGAACCCTAATCCCAGCACTTCCTCTCTAAAGAACTTTGTCAGACTAATTTCCTCTTTCAGAGCCTCATTTTCATAATCTGTAAATTGGGATAACAATTGTAACTCCCCTCACTAGGATTTTGTGAGGATTAAACGAGAAGATGCCTCTGACAATGCTTGGCTCAGTGCCTGGCACACTGTGAGCACTCAGAATCAGAAGCTGTTATTCTAACAATGATGATTATTATTATTGCTGGACCACACTGCTCCCAGAGGGTTACAATATCCGTGGGGGAGCTGTAGTGTCCGTAGGCAAGGTTACATAATTTCCCAAGGGGGTGAATGCTTCCCTGGAGACCTTGGTTTCCCCAAGGAGGAGGCCTGAGACTTGTCTGAGGGCCCGCTGAGGAGCTAGTCTAAGGCACACTAGGAACCCAGCAAAGGAGGAGGCTGTGTTTGAAGCCCTAAACACTCAGAGTGTGGCCCCTGTCAGATGGCTTTTTCTCCTTCTGGCTTGTCTTGATCCAACTTTTGGATTTCCGTCTTGTCCCTTTGTCCCCATACTCTCCTCCTTTGGTAACTCAAGAGTCATTTCTTAAAATGTTTATTTAGTTGTAGATGAACACACAGTATATTTATTTTTATGTGGTGCTGAGGATTGAACCCAGTGCCTCACATATATGAGGCAAGCACTTTACCACTGAGCCACAGCTTCAGCCCCCTTAAGAGTCATTTTTGAGACTGTGTCTAGGATCCGTCTGTGAATATTGCTTCTATTTGCCCTCTATCCTGCTTCTGGCTCCCTGCCTCAGTCCATCCGATCTGCACTCTGATTTCCTGTTTCCCGAGCCCCAGGCTCCATCCATCCCTCCCAGCTGCTGCGGACAACAAGCTTAACACTTCCCCTACGCTCCAGCCTTAGATCATAAGCCTTGTCTTCCTCTCTCCTGGCGACCCTCAGTTCCCCTTGGGAGCACATTTGTTCAGATTTGGATCGCCTCCTCACATCCTGGCCCCACCTACGGAACCCCCTGCCCTAATGGAGGAGGTGGAGGTACCTCCGGCGCCAGTCGTGTCCCCAGGACAGCTGCAGGTTCCAGAATTCATTCCCTCTGATCACTTCCTCCCCAGCTGGACTGGGGGCTAACAGGAAGGCCAAGACCCCATCCCCACAGGAGCGGAGGGCACACCGCCTCTCCATTTCCGATGCTGGGAAATGCTTCCCACCCATTCTACCCCACCCCTGGACAGCTGCCCCATTCAGGCTCAGGGTTGGGGGGCTGGGTAAGGCCAGGCTGGAAAATGCGGTGGTCTGGATGATTATTCTCCAAGCCCTGACTCTGTCCTCCTGCAGAGAAGACTGTGCCTCCTCCCCAAAGGTCCATGTCCCTCCCCACAAAAGTTTTTGACCCCACTTAGAGGGTACTCCCCTACCCTCTGGTTCCCTAAAGAAACTCTGCAGGCCGCAGAAGCAGGAGAGGAGGAGGCGCTGCAGGTAGCAAGCGCCGAGGACTTTAGTTATCAGCAGACTGGGCGCCTCCATGACGGGTCATGACCCCTAGGACCCCATCCTCTACCCGCCCTCTTCTTCCTCCCTCCCCCGCCGCGCGGCCCCTTTAAGCCCACAGCCGGCCGGTCCTCAGTGGCTGCGCGCCGGCAAGCGTGTGTGTGAGTGCGCGGGGAGGGGGCGGGCGCAGTGTCTCCATGGCGACGCGGCGGTGACGTCGCCGGCCGGGGGGCGTGGGCGTCCCGGCCCCGGAGTGCGATATTAACCCGGGAGGCGGCGGCGGGGAGGGGAGAGGCTCAGAGAGGCGAGGCCGGGTGAAGCGGCGAGGGCGGCCCGACGGGCGCGGGACGGGACGGGGCAGCGCGGGCGCCGGAGCCACGGCCCGGAGTCGGGGTGCCTTGCCCCGGGCCCCCCAGCATGAAGACCCCGGCGGACACAGGTGGGGGCGGGGGCAGCACGTGTGGGGGAGACTTGTTGCCCCGGGAAACCAGGCAGAAAACTTTGGGGGGGCTGAAGGGGTCCGGGGGAGCCCCAGTGATTCCTAGTTCTGGGGGACCCCCAAGCACTCAAGACCTGTTGCTTCTTGCGGAGCGAAAGGGGGTGCTGCCTGGGACCCCCAATTTTGGGCTCCTTTCGGAGTAGTGTGGGTGTTGCGGGTCCTAATTTTCTCCACATGCCCGGACCTCACAAGCTGGGCTCTCCCCCACTCCTTGGATCACGGGGGTGGCGGGGTCCCTCCCTGCCGTTCTGTCACGTTGCACTCTGGGGGCCGGGACGTGTGCGGGGCGGGGGGGAGGTTGGTCCACGGGGCCCGCTATCCCTGGTTCTTCGGTGCGCGGTCCGGCCCGTGACCTTCACAGCTGCGCGTGCCCCGCATCGGGTTAGTGGGGGACACGGATGGCCTCCAGGAGGGCGTGAGTGGGGAGCCCGGGACTCGGGGTCCGGGCTGCGCTGCCCCTCCCCCGCCCGTCTCCGCCGGCTCCTCGCTCCCCCGCCCGCACGGAGTCGCAAAGTTCCAAAGCGCAGCCCGAACGTTCGAAAAAGGAACTTTTTGTTTCCGACCTTAGAACGCGCTGCTTTAAGGTGGCTCGGGGGAAGACCTGGGTACCCTCCTCCCGCGCCGTCTGAGGCCGGGGGTTGAGAAGGGTGGGGAAGGTGGGGGGGACGCAGACGCTCCCCCCTCTCTCTCCCTCCCCGATCCAGCTCTTCTCTTTCAGCGGGCCGTCTTCCCCTCCGCCTCTCTTCCCCGCCAACTTGCTCCTCCTTAAGGGGCCTGGGTTCCCCTCCCCCCTCGGCCGGCGGGCGGGGGGCATCGGGATTAACCCCCCCTCCCGCTCGGACTTTCCCCCCCTCCCTTCCCCCGCCGCCCCCGGGCTCGCGCGGGCTGGACTTTGCGCCCGGGTGCGCGGGGGGAGGGGTCCTAGCCGCCCCCTGCCCGTCTACCCTGTCGGAATCCGGCCCGGGGCGGGGACGGGGGAGGGGGAAGGGGGCCGGGCGCCGCTGTTCAAACTTGTTTCCTTTCCCCGGCGGCGGCCGCGGCTAGGACTCTAGTGTGCGGGTGTGTGCCCCGACCGGCCCACCCACCCCACCCCCTGCTCGGCGGGTGGGGGCGGCTCTTAAAGGGCTCAGAGCAGGACTACGGCGCCAGGGGATTGGGGCCTGGGAGGGGGGCTGAGGGTGGGGCAGGGGTGCGGAGTGCTGTAGGGTCAGTCACGTGTGTCCCACTTACTCCCTGGCTCCCACAGGCTCCCGGGCCGCTGGGCCTTGGGGGCAGCAAGAGCCTCTGCTCACTCAGGGAGGGGACCGAGGCGCCCAAACAACTCCGCCTGCCTTTCCTCCCTACCAGGGGCCTTGATCCATTGGGACCTGCTGGGCAGCTTTACAACCCTGGTTAGGGTTCGAGTCGTGTGTGGGTTCTTTGCTTCGGGGAGAGGGAGCTGGTAAGGGGGCGCCTGGAATGGCCTCTGGATCAGTCGATCTTTACGTGTGCCTGCGGCTGTGAGCCCCTCCATCTGATCCTCCATCCCAGCCCCTCTCTTCTGCCGCGGCTGTTTCCCACTTCCTGTTTTCTTCCCGGCTCTGGCGCCATCRAGGGCTGCCTAGAGTGGGGGAGGTGGTGGGGCCCCCCTGGAGGCCGGCGTGCTCTTCCTCTACCATCACCCCTCCCTTCCGACCCCTATAGTCTCTTGAAAAAGTTTGGGCAGCCACATGAAGTTGGGGGGTACCCAGGAATTCTGCCCCCACCCCGTCTTGCAGTCTGGGAGAATCCCTACCCTACCTCTGAGATCCAGGTGTGCCTTCTGGGACCCAGCCATCTCAGCCCTTCCTGTCTGCTGCCACCTTTACACCCGCTCTGTGTTTCTTGAACCTCTCTTTGAGTGCAACTGCTTTCTCCATCTCCCTGCCTCACTGGTCCCCCATGCTCCAGAAGTACTGTACCCCCCAAGCTTTCTTGGTGCAGGGCTGGTGTTTCCCTGATTTAAGCACGTGGACCCACATACAGCATATACTTACACATGCTCCCCTTGCCCGTGCCTGGCTCCTGGCTCCAAGGCTTGGGGAACAGAGCCCCATTGAGACTCCCTGACGTCACCCCCTTTCATTCTGCCCCCCCAAAGCTGGGAACAGGCCCTCATGTATGCTGTGTCCGATGAGGAAAACTAGTGTTTGGGGTGGGCCTGGGTGTGGGGAAGGGTCTCTGCCAGGAGTGGCAGCCAGGGTCTAGGCCCTGGGGGGTGTCTCTCAGGGAAGGAGGTTAACTAGGGGGCCTGGGACAGCTCTCAGAATGCAGCTTGAGGCCTTTCCAGAGCCCCCCCACCTCCTTTGCGAGTTCCCTTTGTGTTGCATGTAGTCTCTCTCACTCCCTCTCTTCTGCAAAGTTTATTTTTAGCCTCCTGCTCCCCCGCTCCCAGGACTGTCGCTGCACACACGTTGCCTGGTTACCGGGACATGGAGGCTGGGGCGGGTGGGCTGGGAAGGGTGGCTTTAATTTGGGGGGGGAGGGTGGAAGTCAATATACTCCTCTACCCCCAAACCCCCAAACGGATGTCTCAGGGGCTTCAGCCCCCCTCCTAGGTCTGGGAGCCAAATTGGGGCTGAAGTGGGAGCAGCATGGAGCTTGGTACCCTGAGAGGGCCAGGAGCTTTTTTGAGAAGGCTCTCAGGGTACTTCGCGTTTGTACCTTGGTGGTTTTGGTCACCTGGGTTTCCAAAAACCTCAGGGCACAGGGAGACCCTGGGACCTCTGCTGTCTAGCAGGATGATAATGGGGTGAGCGACTGAATTCCCAAGAGAGGCATGGGGCTTTGGATGCTGGGGTCCTTGGGAGAGGTTTTCAGGGAGTATCCCTGCTAAATGGAGCAGGGTTGCTGGTCCAGGACTCTTGGGCCTGACCAGCTGGAGGTCATATTCCTGGAGCCCTGAGGGGCTGGTTTGAGGCTGGGATTTCTGAATAAGGTAGGGACAAGGTAGGGAGTGCAGTACTGGCCATGACAGTCTATCAGGAGTTGGGCACTTGGGTCCCTGTGGGAGACAGTGAGCTTTGGATTTGAAGGGGGTGGTCCCAGTGTGAACAGGTACTGTTGATCCCTGGTGTTCCCAAGAGGAAGGATCCTGGGTTGAATTCCAGACTGGGGTGGAGTCTTTGGGGAGGCTCAGTTTTGCCCAGAGGCCTGGTTGGTACCTGCTTGAGCTAGGGCCAAGAGAGGGAGACTGACCCCTTCAGACTTGCAGACCAGGTTTTGGAACCCCACCCATCTTTTTTTTTTTTTTTGAGGAGGTCTTGCTGTGTTGCCTGGGCTGGTCACAAGCTCCTGAGCTCAGTCTTCCCACTGCAGGCTCCCCACTAATGGGACAAAATGTGTGCACCACCACACCCATCTACCACCATCCATCTTTATCCATCCACCATCCACCTTGGCCTTCTCTTCACTAGTGGCACCAGGGCCCCTGCCCTGCCTTCCCCCTCCTTCTCTTCCTCTCCTTTCCCTCCTCCCACCCCTCCATTACCGGCTGCCTAGTGCTGAATTATTGATGGTCCCTGATTACCCGGGGGTTTGGGAAATGACAACAACCACAGCCCCCCCACTCCAGGCTGCCCACCCCCTCCAGGGACCAGCCAGCCCACCACCAACCTCTACCCAAGGTTAATGCTGGGGGCGGGCAGGCAGGTGGGCAGGGAAGAAGCTGAGGATGAGAAGGCAGAAGTGGGAAGAGGGTGACAGCGCCACTGTGCCTGCTTGGTCTTTGCCCTGAACAGGGGCCCTCTAGCCAGGTCTGGCCTGGATGCCTCTGGGTCTGGGGAGGGCAGTGCAACTTAGAGGGTCCAGGGCTTGGTGCGGGTTGGGGGGGGCCTCTCAGACAGTCTGGGTTTCACTCTCCAGGGAAGACAGAAGCCTCTGTGTGTGCAAGTGCTGACCTCATCGTCAACCAGCCACCCCACCCCTCCTGGTCCTTTTAAGAAGAAAAAAAAATCCTCTGGGTCTTGAGGTGGGAGTAGGGGGTTCTTTTAGGTCTTGCTGGGGAAGATAGTGTATGTTCCTAAAGAGGGGACCAGAGGACCCCGGGGGGGTACAATTTGGCTTTGGATGGATATGGGGGTGGACTGGGGGACTGTGCCTCAACTGGACTGGCCACGTGTGCCCTTTCCTGCCCCTCCCCCACTGGCAGCTCTGCCCGCCGGCCTGGCTTGGTGCCTGGCCCCCTGGCACTGGCCCCGGGACCCGCCGCCGACGGTTTCCTGTTTCTCCCGGTGTCCCTGGAGCAGGCTCCAGCTTCCCCTCCCCCCAGCTCCTGTCTAGCCCCCCTCAAACAGACACACAGTCTTCCTAACTCAGGTCTTCACTTGGCTGAGAGAAAAGGGATTTCCCTACCACGAGGGTGGGGTAGAAGGTGGATCCTGGGAAATGACCCAGATCCCAGACTTGGCATCCTGACCCCAGGCCGCTCCCTCCCTGCTTCCCATCCCCAGGGTTTGCCTTCCCGGATTGGGCCTACAAGCCGGAATCGTCCCCTGGCTCAAGGCAAATTCAGCTGTGGCACTTTATTCTGGAGCTGCTAAGGAAGGAGGAGTACCAGGGTGTCATTGCCTGGCAGGGCGACTATGGGGAGTTCGTCATCAAGGACCCCGACGAGGTAGCTCGGCTCTGGGGTGTTCGCAAGTGCAAGCCCCAGATGAACTATGACAAGCTGAGCCGGGCCCTGCGGTAAGGAGGGACCGTGGGCCCTGGAGCACATGTGGTCAGTTCCCACTGGTTAGGAAGCTCCTGACCCATGGGAACAGGTTTGGCACCTGGCTCTGCCAGATCCTAGCTGTGTGATCTTGGACAAGTCCTAGCACTTTTCTGAGTCCATTGGTAACAAAGGGGTTGGGGGAGAGAATGGTATCACCCACAAGGCCTCTAGTCTGGGCCCCATCTTCTGGGTACTTCTTTAAATGGCTCATGTTTCTTGGTTACCGTACCTTTGTGAGCAGCACACAAGCATGCATCAAGGTATGGAGTCTAGAACTGAGTCCCAATAAGTACTAACTGATCAATGATATCATGGTGTCTCTACACCCACAGATATTATTATAATAAGCGCATTCTGCACAAGACCAAGGGGAAACGGTTCACTTACAAGTTCAACTTCAACAAACTGGTGCTGGTTAATTATCCTTTCATCGATGTGGGGTTGGCTGGTGAGTACCAGGGATGCATGGCCTTGGAGGGAGGAGAGGGTTGGTTTGTCTGTCCAGGCTAGGCCAGGGGCCTTGACACCAAGTATCCCCACTCTGTCAGGGGGTGCGGTGCCACAGAGTGCCCCTCCAGTGCCATCGGGCAGCAGCCACTTCCGCTTCCCTCCCTCAACGCCCTCCGAGGTGCTCTCCCCCACCGAGGACCCCCGCTCACCACCGGCCTGCTCTTCATCCTCCTCCTCACTCTTCTCAGCTGTGGTGGCCCGCCGTCTGGGCCGAGGCTCAGTCAGTGACTGTAGTGATGGCACATCAGAGCTGGAAGAACCACTGGGCGAGGACCCCCGGGCACGACCACCTGGCCCTCCAGAGMTGGGTGCTTTCCGAGGGCCCCCTCTGGCCCGCCTGCCCCATGACCCTGGCGTCTTCCGAGTCTACCCCCGGCCCCGGGGTGGCCCTGAACCCCTCAGTCCCTTTCCTGTATCACCTCTGGCTGGGCCTGGCTCCCTGCTACCCCCTCAGCTCTCACCGGCTTTGCCCATGACACCCACTCACCTGGCCTACACACCCTCTCCCACCTTAAGCCCTATGTACCCCAGTGGTGGTGGCGGCCCCAGTGGCTCAGGTGGAGGCTCCCACTTTTCCTTTAGCCCTGAGGACATGAAACGGTACCTGCAGGCCCACACCCAAAGCGTCTACAACTACCACCTCAGCCCCCGCGCCTTTCTGCACTACCCTGGGCTGGTGGTGCCCCAGCCACAGCGTCCTGACAAGTGCCCACTGCCGCCCATGGCACCTGAGACCCCACCGGTCCCTTCCTCAGCCTCGTCATCCTCTTCCTCCTCCTCTTCCCCATTCAAGTTTAAGCTCCAGCCGCCCCCACTAGGACGCCGGCAGCGGGCAGCTGGGGAGAAGGCTTCAGGAGGTGCTGACCAGAGCAGTGGCAGCAGCACTGGCGGGCTGGCTGAGGGGCCAGGGGCACTGGCCCCCCCCCCACCACCACCACAGATCAAGGTGGAACCTATCTCAGAAGGTGAATCAGAGGAGGTGGAGGTGACTGATATCAGCGATGAGGATGAGGAAGATGGGGAGGTGTTCAAGACGCCCCGTGCCCCACCTGCACCCCCCAAGCCCGAGCCTGGCGAGGCACCTGGGGCAGCCCAGTGCATGCCCCTCAAGCTGCGCTTTAAGCGGCGCTGGAGTGAAGACTGTCGCCTAGAGGGGGGTGGAGGCCCTGCTGGGGGCCTTGAGGATGAGGGTGAGGACAAGAAGGTGCGTGGGGATGGGCCTGGGGAGGCAGGGGGTCCCCTCACTCCAAGGCGGGTGAGTTCTGACCTCCAGCATGCAACAGCCCAGCTCTCACTGGAGCATCGAGATTCCTGAGGGCTGTGGGCAGGGGGCTGAGGTTCCCCCCACTCCCCATGCTTTTGCTGCCTTAACCCCCCCAAAGTCCTGGAGGTGAGGGCAGCTCTCTAGTCTCCTCCCTGCCTCCTCCCTCTCCCCTCCCCTCCCCACATTTTGTATAAAACTTTTAATTTTTTTTTTTTTTAATGGTGAGGGTGGGTGGGTGCCCAGGGCTAGGGGCTGTCCTGTTTCTAAGTTCTGGGCAAAGTGGTGGTTGGGGGAGGGAGGGGGGCATTAAGGGGGCCACCTCCATTCTGGGGAATTTATATTTGAATTGAGGCTTTGGCCTTAAAACCCAGGAAATTTTTTATTACAATCGCTTAGGAAGTAAAGCCTTGTCTCCCTCCCTGTTCTCTGCCTCTTGTACCTCTCCCTCTCTGCCCCACGACCACCCTCAGCCCCAACCCTGCCTTCCTTGCCCCTCCAGGGGCCGTGAGTGCCTGGGTTTCTCATTTCCCACAAGGTTGCAACAGGGGAGGGAGGGACAATTTTTTGATGAACCAAAAATTCCATGGTGTGGGGGATTGGGGTGGAGGAGGGTGAGGGGTGCCGCCCATGGGCCACAAAACTACAAGTGCCTGCTCTCCCTCCCCACCCCAGCGTAGGTCCAATCCCTTTACCCCCAGCTGCTCCTAGGACTGGCCCATGGGCAGGCGGGTGAGAGGATGGGAAGGGGGTACCCTGAAACCAAACTGGAAGCCCCCTCTGCCTCCCAGCTGGGGCCCCTGGGGTGGTGGGGGACTGGGTCAAGCCTTACTCTGTATTGGGAAGGAGGGTGGGGGAGGGAAGTAGGGGGCTGCTGGAGAATGTATTCAAAATAATAAAACTTTGGACCTTTGCATGCGGTGATCTGTCCTAGGTGCTAGGTGCAGCCGCTGCAGGGTGATGGTCTCTGCCTGATTGGGAAGGACAAGGCAAGGCTGGACCCTGGTAGCTCTATGGCCAGAGGGCCTAGTGCCTCTGAATGGGTCGAACCCAGGCTTGGGGAATGATTGCCTGACCTTGGGTGTCACAAACTCCAGAAATTGATGATTAAGGCCTATATTTGGTCCTGTTCTATGGGAATCTGCTTGTCCTTGGAAACTCCTTACCTTCACCACCACCCTATTGGCCTTGGTCCTTTTCCTAAAATGCTTTCCAACTTTGATTTCCTAGCCATATCCTCAGGTCCCCAGTGAAGGCCAAGAGCTCCTTTTTGCACTGTTTGTACACCCTGCCCACATCAGTGCCCATAAGGTGCTTTGGGTTAAGCTGGGAGTCCTTTGGAGACAAGGCCTGCAGTGTTTCTTAAAATGTAAACCTTGGAAAGTAACTGACTGTTGAGTTTTACCAGCCTAACACTCCTAGCCAAGCTGCTTGACAAGGGTCTGGCTCATTAGTCAGCACTGATTAGCTTACTATAGACCATAGACCTAATTAGAACCTGCAATGCTTTAGTTCATCACACAAGGAAGAGTAACTGGCTCAGTTAAATGACTTGCCTAGGACCCTAATTCTGGGGCATGTTCTTTCAACAACTCCTGAATTTTCCTCCCTAAAGCCAAGATTGTTGGATCTAAATCAGGGTCTCTGAGAATCACAGAATCTGAGAGATGAGCTCATAAAGCTAGGATCCTAGACTGGGGAGTTGAGTCAAGAAGAATTCAGGCTGGAATTGCCTGTAGAGACAGCCCAACCTGGATAATGCAGGTGAATAGCCAAAGGGAAGGGTTTTCCCCAAGGTCACAGCTGCTAAGAGATGGAGTGGGAATTGAGGGTTAGGGTCTGCTGAACTGGCTTCACAGTGAAACCCCACCCTGCGCAACCTCAAGAGGGGACAGAACATTGGTAACTGCTACCCACTTGAGCTTAAACCGTGGCAGTCTAGGGTGTGTGGTCCCAGATGACGATGCTGGTTGGCAGGAGAGGATCCAGGGCTGGGGTACTGGCAAGAAACAGGCTTCTATTCCGGCCTACGGGCAATTGCTCCCTCTCCTGGGTGATGTAAGTCACTCCCTAGGGTGGGGGCCGCTGGGCTATTTCTGGAAGTTGGGATGAGGCATATCTCCTGGCAACATAGATGCAGCTAAACTGGTGGTGCAGTGATGGGAGAAAGGTGGATGTCGTCACTGGAGGGAGGGTAGCAGGACCCTGGTTAACCTTAACCTGACCCCAGTGACTTCAAAACACTTTTAACCATATGATTCCTAAAGGCTCAGCTCCAGGACTACTTTCCGGGTCAGAATGTGGTCTCACCAAACTTGCTGTCCCGGCTGTGTGGGATGGCACTGGTAGCATGAGGCTTTAAAATCTCCAGTGGCTCCCTCAATCTTTAAATGGTTTACCAAAATCCATTTGCAGGCCTGAAATGTTCCTACAGAAGACTTCTTGGTCCAGCCCATACTCTTGAGATCCTGGCTTTCAAGGAGAAAGCCCTTCACAGATCTCAGGGACACTTAACAGAGGAACCATGACATAGACCCCCTTTGCACCTATAGCCTCTTGGGACCTACATAGATCCGCAAAGCCCCTGATGTTTTTCAGTCATCTTTTGCCCCGTCAGAGATCTCAGTGATCAGTAATTTCTCAGTCTTCCACAGATCTTTCACAGAAATCCTAAATCCCCTCAGAATCTTCCACTGACTCCCAATAGTTGTTCTCCATAGCCCATCAAAGAGCACCTCTTCACCACTACCGGCAGTCTCTCCATACATCACGGCCCCTTTTACACACTTACAAGGCCCCCCCCCCACGCCCCGACCCAGCACCTCTCTGAGAGTGTTCGCATTCCCTACAGACATCCTATTAGATTTCCGTCGATCGCCTTCAAACTCCTACGGACCCCAATCCTTTTGTGGCGGTTGCCCACGCACGGTCCACTACGCATGTCCCACGGGTTCTGGCGGTTAAGTAACGTCGCTATCTTGCCATGCACCGTCGCCCGCCCTGCTAGGTCCTTTCTGGGATTCCCTAGGCCTTAGGGCTTAACTCAAAATTTAACTTTTTCGTTAGAACTGCCATCAGAGGGCAGCAACCACCGTTTGGCTGGGCAACTACAGGTCCTAGAAACACCCACTTGGATCTGTGCGTGATTCGCCTGCAGGCTTTGCAAAGGGAGCAGGAGCGTGTCCGTACTTTGCCTTCTGGATAACGTAGTCTGAAAAGGCTTTAGCGTTACCTTCTGTCGCCATTCTGTGCCCTCTGGGAATTGCAGTCAGGAACAGACCTAGCGAACAGGACTTATTTTTAAGGCTTTAGAAAGGCCAAGACAATATGAACCCAGGCTTGGATTAAAGTGAAGTTCAGAGACTCCATTTCCCACCATTCTCTAGGTGGGAGGGATGGAGAGCGCTTTCATTCTGGTTCCAAGCATTTCCGGGAGAGGGAAGGGTGAAGGGACAGACACAAGAACTCTATTTCCCAGCGCCCTTTGGGGATGCTCTTCTTCCGGGTATTAATCAATAAATGGAGCGAGTGAACGCGCTCTCAAAACCCAAAGCTACTTCTTTCAGCTGTCTTCCTTGGTTTGGGCTATCCAGAATCCTTTAATTTAGGAAGCGCGAGAACGCAAAAACAAAAACAAAACTGAATGGGGGTTCAAGACAAGAGGTTCTGTCTCTTTAATGCTCGGCTCCGCTTGCACATTGCTAGAAAAAAGCTAGACTGTATCCGAAGACAAGTGCTCTGGAGAAAGAACTTTGTTTCCCAAGCCCTTCCTGGGGACGGGGAGGGGGGGGTTTCCCTTCCTTACATGTGTGCACGCGGAACTAAAGAGGTGCTTGAACCTTTTTCCAGCAGTCACTGACCGACTTGTTCTCATTCTTAGTATTTGGGGGCGAGAAAGAAAGCATAAGGCACTTCCCGGTCTCCCTAGAGATCTGCCGTCCTTAACCTTTTACCCACACTATCCCGATGGTACCCAGTGGACTTCACTTCCCAGCAAGCCTCTGAATCTAGCCTCACAAAGAGTGAGGAGCCACTGTGGACAGTTCCCAGCAGGCTTCGGGCGCATGGTCGATCACGCCCCCTCCGTTCATGGGGAGGCTGCCTTGAACTCCATTACCCAGAAGGCACCGGGGTTTGCTGTAACAACTGCCCTGAAACCTTAGACTACATTTCACCGCCGATTACATTTCCCAGCAAGGAATGCGGCTCAGCGTACCTGGCATGGGGAGCGCGATGCCTACCCTGCTTCTGGCCTATCTGTGGAACTGCGATATCCTCTTGGGATTTGAGGACCACCTGGAACTCCATTTCCCGTGGTGCTTTGGAATTCGCTTTACACCTGCAATGCGGTGAGGGCGTGGTGACGACTCCATTTCCCAGCTTGCCTTACGGCCGGAGGTCTGCAGGTTTACCGACGCCGACTCGATTTCCCAGAGGGCACCTGGCTCCGCGAGACACGCAGCCAAAAGACTTAAGTGAACGACTGGACTCCGTTTCCCGGCGTGCTTCAGGACTGCACAACTCAAAGCGGCTGCGACTACATTTCTGAGGTACTCCCGAGGCTTCCTGTTGCCGCAGTGGAGCGAGTGCGCGGTTCTATTTCCTAAAAACTAGAGGGTCCGCCTTCGGTACAGCCGACTGACAGATTTTCCAGGATTTTATTTCCCGACGTGCTGCGCGACCCGTCACCCCCGCCGTGTACTCTGAGGCCTTTGCAGACTCCATTTCCCGGCGTGCCACGCGGGCTTCTGTGCCTGCCGAGGGCGGCGACGGCGGCGCGGTCGGCAGGCGGACTTCATCTCCCGGCGTGCCCCGCGGCGGGCGCTGGGCCGGAGCCGGAGCCCGAGCGGCGCGGCCTGGAAGAGGCCGGAGCCCCGGGGAGGCGGCGGCAGCGGCGGCGGCGGGGGCAGCCCGGGCAGCCCGAGCCCCGCGACCTGGGCCTGCGCTCGGCGCCATGAGCGGCGGCGGGCCTTCGGGAGGAGGCCCTGGGGGCTCGGGCCGGGCGCGGACCAGCTCGTTCGCGGAGCCAGGCGGCGGAGGCGGTGGCGGTGGCGGTGGCCCCGGGGGCTCGGCCTCTGGCCCAGGCGGCACCGGCGGTGGGAAGGCGTCGGTCGGTGCCATGGGTGGGGGCGTGGGAGCCTCGAGCTCCGGGGGTGGCCCCAGCGGCAGCGGCGGAACAGGCAGCGGCGGCCCTGGTGGCCCCGGCGCGGGCACTAGCTTCCCGCCGCCCGGAGTGAAGCTGGGCCGTGAGTACTAGGGGACCCCGTGTGGGATGGTGATCTGTTTTCCTAGCTCTCTAAATATCGTTCGGGTTCTTTCACATGCCCACATAGGAGCTCGAGGTCACTGTGCTTCTCCAACCTGGGATTTGAATTCTCTCTCTCCCAGAGAAAGGGGTTTAGGGGTTGCCATCACTTACAGTTTAGGATCAGAATTACTAACACTCAGAAACAGGGGTCACAAGTTCTTATTCTTCCAGTAACAAGATCCTTGAGCCTTAAAAACAGATCTGACGTTGCCATCCATTAGAGAACAGGATCAGAGGTCATAGTCACTTGCAAATGGGGATCTAGGATTTTGTCCCCTAAGAAAACAAGAATAAGATCACCATCAGCACACCACCACCACCACCACCACAAAAAGGGGATCTGCATTTTCTCTTTCAGAGGATGGGGATTTGGACTGAATATCTCTTAGAGTTAGGGATTTGTGGTTACTTGTCCCCAAAGAACAGGGCCAGGTTTAAAACAAGGCCTGACATTATTATCCACTGAAAGTATATAGAGCTTTATGCCAATGGTGGCACTTAATAGTTGTTACTTTTGCTTAGCAGTAAGGACAGATTGAGAATAAGCATACCTTTTAGACCAAATCTATTGTTAGTATTCTTTAAAAAAAAATGGAATTAGGGTG